TTGGCGTCGTGGTCGTCCTCCTCCCCCTCCTCCTCCTTGCGCCCTCGAGGGAGACGGAGGCGCGGTGCCTCCTTGCGGGACGCCAGCCTTGCCTGGGATGGAGGAGGGGGGTGCGGGGCGGTGGGGGTGGGGCGGTGGGCGGGGTGGCGGCGGTGGAGGCGTCGCCAGGGGGTTTTCCTGGGCTCGGGGTGGGGGGTGGCTGCGCGGGCTCCCTCGTCGCCACGGCTGGGCTGGGCTCGTGTTCCGGCGTGCTGCCCCGGGCTGGGGGATTCCTGGGGGTCTCTCTCTTTTCGTCTGCGCCCCCCAGTCGTCGCCACGGCCGGGCCGGGGGTTGTTTTCTGGTGCGGCGGGGCCCTTGCGTGGGCCCTTGGGGGCCGCTGTGTGTCCCCCTCTTCCGCGGGGTCCGCCCCGGCCTGGGGCCGGTCCCCGTTCTGGCGGCCCCGGGTGCTGTCTTTTGGGTGTGGTGGCTGCTTCGGGCGAGGGGCTGTGCAAGAGGAGCCCTGGCCAGGCTCAGTTCCTCTTCCCTGGCGGCCATCCCTTTCCTTCTTTTCCCCTTCCTCTTCCTCCTCCTCCTCCTCCTCCTCCTCCTCCTCCTCCTTCTCCCCTCTTGTTCGCTTTTTCCCAAGCACAAGCGGGACCCAGTTGGGTGAGGTGTGCTGGGATGGGGCACTGCCCTCCCGCTCCCTCTCCGCTGCTTCTCGCCGGGTCGCGGATGGGGCGTGTTCTGGAGGGGGCCTGTCCCTCGCGGAACCAGCGTCCGCCCCTGTCCTTGTGCCAGGACAGGGCAGGTGGTAGGATCGCAGGCTTCCCGCGGAGGGTGGGGGCAGGATTGCGCCGCCTACCCGCAACCCTGGCCCTGTCCGTAGAACTTGGCTCCTCAGAGGTCCGGCGGGGTGGAATGGGACGTGGGCATGGAAGCCGCCCTGGCCGCACTCCTCGCAGAGTTTCCTCACGGTGCTCCCTCCCCTCCTCCTCCCCCTCCCCCCTCTGGGGCTCCTGGGGCTCTGGTTTCTGTCTCGGTGGCCTCGCCTCGTTTCCTGGCGAGGGCCCCCCTGGGGGCCTGTGGCTTTCGGGGTGTGCTCCCCTGGGGTTCCTGGGGCTTTCTGTTTTGTTGCGGTGGCCTCGCCCGTTCCCTGGCTTGGGGCCCCCCTGGGGGCCGGTGGAGTTCGGGGTGGGCGAGGGGGCTCTTTCTCCCCCCCTGTCTCTCCCCGCAGGCCGGGCCGCGTCCCGATGCCGAGCCGGGGTGGTGGCGGGGGGTACCCACTCGGGGAGGGCCTCTTCCAGTCATCTCTCATCGCCTCGCAGCTGCGCCCTGCGGTGGCATCCGGGATGTGCTAGGACGGGCGAGGCCCCAGCGGAGGTGAGCGGGAGCTCTCGCGCTGTCCATCCCCACTCTGCGGCACAGGTTCCGCCCGGCACGGGTGGCCACCAGGGCTGCCCTGGATGGATCCCCCTGTCCCCTTCGTCCTGGGTCGGGACCCCAGCAGTAGCGCCCTCCTATTCTTGGATATCCCGCTCCCAGGTATTTGGGGGCTGGTATTGCTGGGCCTTCCTGTGGTTGAGGTGGGGCGGGGAGGGTGCCCCAGGGGAGGTACCCCAGGGAGTCTCTCGGACCAAGTGGCGCCGTGGCGTTGCGGTACTAGACCCCCGCGACAGGTGGTGAGCTGCCCCCCCAGCCATCCCTGAGTGGGAGGTGCCGCTAAAGAGGCAGTGCCCGCGGCCTCACCAGACTGCTTACCCAAGCCACCACCACCACCACCACCCTCCTCCTCCTCCTCCTCCTCCTCCTCCTCTTCCTCTTCTTCCTGTTCCTCCATCTTCTTCTCCCCCCCCCCGCTCCTCGCCCCCCTCGCCGCGACTATCAGATCTCTGATTTCCAGTGCGGGAGAAGAGGGGGGATTCTTCCCAAGCGAATGCAACTCCCATGCAACGCGCGCGCCCCCACGCGCGCTGCCGCGAGGACAGCGGAAAAGGATGGGGAGAAAGAGAGAGAGAGAGAGAGACAGAGAAAGAGAAAGAGAAAGAGAAAGAGAGAGAGAAAGAGAGAGAGAGAGAAAGAGAGAGAGAGAGAAAACAAAAAAAAACAAATAGAGAGAGAGAGAGAGGGAGAGAGAAATAGAGAGGGAAAGAGAGAAAGAGAGAGAGAGAGAGAAGAGATAAGAGAGAAGAGAGAGAGAGAGAGGAAAAAAAACAGCAAAAACAAATAGAGAGAGAGATAAAAAAAGAGAAGAGAAGAGAAGAGAAGAGAAGAGAAGAGACGAGACGAGAAGAGAAGAGAAGAGAAGATAAGAGAAGAGAAGAGAGGAGAAGAGAAGATAAGCGAAGATAAGAGAAGAGAAGAGAAGATAATATTGAGGGAGAGAGGGAGTGAGAGAGAGAGAGAGAACCAAAAGAAAGAGAGAGGGACAGAGAGAGAGAGAGGGAGAGAGGGAGAGAGGGGGATGGAAGATGGAGGGGGGATGGGGTGAGGTAGGAGGACGAGGAGCATGACGACTGAGGGGTGGAGAGAGGGGGTGGGAAAAGAGGAGGCTTCCAAACCCTTCGAACTTCGCTGCTCACTCGAGACTTTTTACCTTTCTGGGAAACGGCTGTTGCCCGGGGAGGGGGGGGGGGGGCGGCGGGGGCAACGGCGGCGGCGTGCGCCCGCCAGGGTGCGTCCGAGACATCGGCGCGTCAATTGCCCGCGCGCGCTGCAATTCCCGCGCGCGACAATGCCAAGTGCGCTCGTGCAAGACAACGCCGCCTGAGTGCACCGCAATGCTTCGGCTCGCCGCAACAGCTGCGTGCACGACGCCACCGCGTCGCCCATGCACGCCGCAATATCAGCGTATACTGCAGCAGCCGCGTGCGCAACAGCGCACGCGTGCACCGCGTTGCCTGCGTGCGCGAGGTTGGTTCTTACCCTACGAGCACTCCCCCCGCCTCCGTCACGTCAGAAGCACAGATCGCGTTCGCTGCCCCTCGGCGGACTTCACTGCTTTCTGCAGGTGTATCGCACCAAACCGCCCAGATTCACTATACCTCATGCACAGACGGGGATTGAAGTGAGGCCACGCCTTCACTGCGTCGTCAGGGTTATGGGCTCTTTTACCCTCGATGACTGCCTCTTCGACGGCCTCCTGGCTCCCAAGAAGCCCGAGGAGGCAGGGGGCACAGTCCTTCTGAGAGGGCCCCCTCTGAGGTCCTGGAGACCCACGGTTTTCGAGCAGGGTGACTTCGCGCGGTTCCGGGCCTCGGGCCCTCGCAGATCGATGCGGCTCGGAACACTGGGGTCCAGGGCTCCGATCGTGATTTTCGATGCTGCATCTGTCTCGCGACGTCGGATCTCAAGGTTTCCTCCCGGATGAGAAGGGGCGAGGGAGGGAGGGGGGGGGGCAACGGACGCATCCTGCAACATCGAGGATGCACAGTTCCTAACCTGGTGTCCTAAGCTCTGAGGCTCCACCTCATCCCCTTCCACCTTTCCTTCTGCTGGCCCTCAACTGGCACGGGGGAAGACGGAGTCATGTAGGCACGGCCAGGAACAAGGGGCAGCAAACTACCAGTCCATCGGACGAAGTGGGCAGAAACATGAAGCAGGAGGGTGCTGGGAATACTCCTGGGTCGCGGGAATCGCAAGGGACAATGAAGGCCAGTCGATCGTTGAACTAGGAGGGCGCCCAAAGCTGTCTAGGTCCAGGAGCAGCGGGCGATCCTCGCCTTTCCAGGATGTGCTGGCGACACCCCTGGTGGTGACCTTGGTCGGGGGCGGCCTAGAGGGGGGCGTCCAAGAAGGGGGGGCGCAAATCATGGCCGGCGGCACGTGCGCGGCCCAGGGGGGGGGGGCAAGGGACGTATTGAAATAAGAAGAGGCGCCATGAAATCTGTGGAGATCTCATGGCCCCCGCCATGATATCCACACACCCCTAATCATCATCCCCCTCTTTGCCGCCCCCGACTTGGCATGAGGTAGTAATCGTGTCTTGCGGGGGCTGGGTCCTGGATTCTAGGGCCTTTCCCCAAGAGAGGCTCTTCGGAAGGGGCCCAGGGACACGCAAACAAGTAGACACGAATCCCAGGATTCCCCGTACCTTGCATATTTTCTGGATGTTCGTCTCCCCATCTCCCCCACTTCCCCCTGTTTTCCCACCTTTTCCTGTGGATCCACGCCTATTTGCTATTTGTGTCTGTGCGGCTTCTTCCCCTATTGATTTCCATCCTATTTTAAGGGCCCAAGGAGGGCCCCGAACCCAGAGAACGGCGAGCCGCCTCGGGACTCGCCTCCCTCAGGACCCGCTTGTGGCCCGGAGATCCGACGATGGGACTTTTGCGATGCGCACTCAGCAGTATGGAAACAGAAAAAACAACATAATTACTCGACGCGGTGCTCCCTATATTTGCATCTCTTTCTCTTGGCACGTCTTTCCATGGGTATCTGTCAATGAGCACCTGCGCGTGAGAAAATCAATAAGTACGGAAAAAAAATAAGCATAAGCATAAACTGTTGGCACTCCGCGCGGATTTCTTGGACCTGCGCTGGATCCCCCTCCCCGGCGCGCGGAGCGGGCCAGGGGCGGCGCTGGAGGCGCCGCCAGGGGGGCCCAGCGCGGATCCAAGAAATCGTGTTTTTCTTCGAAGGCCACATGCGAACCCTACCCCACCACCCCACGATTTCTAAGGGGGGAGTTGGGGTTCTCTTCGTTCGGGACCTCCCGAGCGAAGTACCCCCCCCACCTTCAGAAATCGCGGGGTGGTGGGGCAGGGTTCGCATGTGCCCTCCGAGCACTCCAGAGGTCCCGACCGCGTGCCCAAGTATTCGCCCTAAATGTATTTCTGATGACCCCAGGGCCCGATGACGCCTCCTGAGAGGCCGAGAGCAAGGAACATCGCCCCGGATTGGAAAATGGCACCTCGTCGGAGGCCTGGGTGTGCCGCGTGGCGATGGCCCTCTTTGACGTTGCCTGAGATCCTCCTCCTCCTCCTGGGAGGGGAGGGGTCCCGGGGAGGTGTGCCGGCGGCTCCTCGGCGGCGCCAGTCATGGCGCCGAGTGCGAGCACGCCCGGAAGGAAGCAGGCGAGGTGGTCCATCTTGAGGTAGCCCCAGCTGTTGCCTCGGCAGGAGCACCCAGGCCTCCGGAGCACGAAAGCAAAGCAGCGATCCCAGATCCTCGACGCCGTGTTTTGTTTTTCTGTTCTCCTCGTCGTGGTCCCCTCAGAACGGCGTACTGGCTGCCGAATTGGCTGGGCCGAGCAGACGCTGGGCGAATCGGCTTTGCCTACGCCATCCTGTAGAAAAACCATCCAAGAGAAAGTCGTCCGTTCCAACATATGGCATAACGACAAGGGGTCAACCAGCCGTCTTTGCGAAGGTTGGGGTGCGCTTCGGCACCCTTCTCCAGGGCTCTGAAGTCATGCAGCGGAATTCAGCTCAAGACAGGCAGGGCCGCCGCATGATCGTCTCCTCCATGTGAAGGGGACACCAGACGCTGGAACACTGCGCCTGGTGACGGCCCAACGAGGCCGACTCGATGTCTGGAGTAAGACTTACAAGGAAGCTGGAAAAAGTGGAAGTTGGAGGGACTTCGCCTGCCTGAATTGGACGCCAAAAACAGCCAGGAGCTACTCCTTTGGGGGGGCGGGGGGGGGCTCGAGGGCCCGCACCGATCGGCAAAACAATGCGCCCCATAGGGGAGACTCCACCTGCTTGAAACAGGAGCCAAAAAACAGCCAAGATCTACTCCAGGGGGGTGGAAGGGGGGGTGCGAGGGCCCGCGCAGATCGGCAAAACACTTAATTCGCCGGCCCAACGGGCCAGGGCGTGCTAAGATCTCCAGTAACTGGTTAACAGTATTAACAGTATTTCTAGTTCGCGCGCGCGGGGCGGCCCCTGGGGGTCCCCCGGCGAAAAGTACCCCGACCAACGCCCGGTCGCCGCCCGACCGCCGCCCGACCAAGTCTACTCAGAGATGGTTTTCCTTCTGGGTGCGGCCTCTCAGGCTCCCCAGAGCGCGCTCAGAGTGCCCCAAGAGGCCCCCAAGACTGCCCAAGAGGCCCCCGAGACGCCCAAAGAGCGCTCGAAGACGCCGAAGATGACCCCAAGACGGCCCAAAAGGCCCCCAAGACAGCCCAAGAGGCCTCCAAGACGCCCCAAGAGCCTTCCAAGAGGCCTCCGAAGAGAGCCCCAAGAGGCCAAAATCGTTGATTTTCATTGGTTTTTTAGATGTTTTTTGTGTTCTGGCTTTTTCGGCTTCCGGACGCTCCAAGACGGCCCAAGAGGCCCCCAAGACCGCTCCAAGACGGCCCACGAAGCTCCCAAGACGGCGCCGAAACGACCCAAGAGAGCCCTCAAGACGGCCCAAGTGCCGCCCAAGACGGACCAAGAGGCCCCAAGACGGGCCCAAGAGGGACTCAGGAGGGATACCGAGAACTCAAAAATGGAGCCCTCCGTCCCAGAAGGCGCCCAGGAGGTCCCAAAGAGGCCCCAAGAGGCCTCCAAGAGGCCCCAAGATGTCGCCAAGAGGCCCCAGGAGACTCCCAGGAGGCCCAAAAGAAGCCCCAGAAGGCTTCAAACATGTCTCCCAGGCGCCCCCGAACGGCCTCTCAACAGACCCCAAGAGGCCCCCCAAAGAAGCATCTTGACGACGACTCTATTTCGCCCCATCGAGAGACGACCCCCAGGGAACTGCTTCACCATCAAAACTCCCCACGCAACGCGTCCGAACGACACCCGCCCCCAAGAGCGCAACATGGGCAACGAACACACAGACAAAAACCAACGATGCCATATCACGGGCCGGCGGAATGAGCGAAGCGATTCAAAAAGAAAACGATCACTGGTTTTGCGGGGCAATTGTCGACGACGTGTGCTGTGTTTTCACCATATCTCTCACACATTTTTTCTCTGTCTACTCACCATCTTCGCACTCCGATCCCACAACTATGGCTTCTTCAGGTTATCGCGGCACGCGACTCCCAGGTACCCCCGTCAGGCAGCTCTTCAAACAGCATAGAATCCATAGCCCGCTTCATGAAATGGATGGGCTGGAGGACGACACTGCAGCACAAGGTGGAGGAAAAGGAGGAGTTGGGGCGTCGACGGGGGAGATAACCATGAGTGCGATCGAGGGCATGTTCAAGCAGTACCTGCAGCCTCTACAGCATGAAGTTGCAGCTATTAAACTACATGGGATATCCAGGGATGAGTTACAGCAAGCTCTGGAACCTGTCCATGCGGAGATGAACAAACACACAAAGCGCGTCGACTTCCTGGAGCGATCGGGATCCGGGTCGCCATCGGCAACAGCAACATCACGTCACACATCGAACAACAAATATTCGACCTGCCGGGACCGAGAATGCAATGCGGTTGTCGGAGGCTTGGGTAACTTCTCGGCTATGGATACAGCCGTGGACTTCCTGACGGGCCAGTTCGTGCGCACCCGCGTGCCAGAGCACATCGACATCTTCACTAAAGGCGCATTCAACATCAGAGTCTTCGTGAAGTTTGGCTCCGCTGACAAGCGTGACAAGTTCGTCAACGTATTCGGTAAAGCTCTGATCACGCACAATGGTAACGCTGTGTGGGCCCGCGCCGACCAACCAATTGAGAAGCGGGTGCCAGAGAGCTTTCTGTTACGAAAAGTCCAGAAGTGGATCACCTTGCCACTCGGGCGAACGACGCGTTGGGCCGATCTGCCAAGAGAGGTGGGAAAGGCAAGAAGGGTGGGCAGGGTCTGGAATAGGGACTCGCACGGCGCATCGGCCACGAGAGAGCAGCTTCACTTGGCAAATGGGAAACATTCCCATGTTGGCCAATACCTTGCGGCAAAGTTACATCCTGGAATGTCGAAGGCGTTCACCAGGATCGTCCTCACAAGCTGCACGAGATTATCAAACACATGAGAGACCTGGACATCGCAGTGGTATGTCTCCAAGAGACATACTGCCGAGGTTCCCCGGTCTACGAATTCGAAGGCCACCTCTTCATCATGTCAGGGAACGAGAACGACACCAGGGAGTACGCTGGAGTGGGCTCCATTGTAGCACCACGGGCAAAGCATTCAATCAAATGTTATTTGCAGGCTGATAACAACAGAATGGCGAACTTAAGGATACGAACAACTGGAAATGTATTCACATTGGTGACAACATACGCATACACAAACGAGTACGCATGGGATATCCGGCACGACTTCTTTTCCGAGCTTGGGAATTTCACTAAGAAGTACCGCTCACATGGACCAACGATTTTACTTGGTGAGTTCAACGCGGCTACTGCAGAGGTACGCCAAAGAAGAAGATATCATGGGAGAGTTCGTCTTCGAGAACATCCGTGGTAGATAGGACGCTCTCTCAAACAGAGAATTGTTGGCAGAATTACGCATAAGCTTGGAATCTTACATTGCCGGTACTTTCTTCGATGTGGGAACGGAATCGAAGGTAACGTACTACGACTTAGGACGAGATACAACCGGGAAAGTTCGAGCAACTTGACCATGTCATCGTCGAGCGGGCCTGTTTGGCGAACATACGGTGCATTTGGAGCGACAGGTCCAGAGCTCTGCAAACGCATCACTTTGCGAACATCGTGGAATTGGAAGTCAACATCCCTATACAGGAGCCTCCTCAACGACAACCACAATACGATTGGAATCTTTTCATCAATCAGAGAATGTCGGAAACTATATTTCTGGCTTTGTGGGAAAATGGGAAGCAAAGCCTACGGACGACACCGTCGACGGGAAAGCAGCAACAATTGCTTCATGTATGCTGGAATCGGCGAAAGAATCTGTACTTCTCTCGTCCGCTACCCCACACAGGGCTTGGATCACGCAGCGGACGTTGCATGTCATTGAACAGAGAAACACTTGCAGACAGCATGGGGGATCCAACGAGGAAGCCAAAGCATTCAACAAACAAATTCATTAGTCAGCACGCGCAGACAAGAAGAAATGGCTGGAACATGCTGTGGAACATGGTGGTTGGAGAGCAATCCAGCTCCTACGTAAAAGGCCGGCCACCACAGCATTGAAGATTGCAAAATCGATCTGGGCAACTTGTGGATAAAGAAGACAAAGTGGAAGCAATGGCTGAATATCTGGAAAAAGAACAATGGAGATTATATGATGGACCAGAAGAGCTCCTTGAACTCAACCGAGACAGGGAAATTTTAGCATTGACACGGGGGACATCAGCTCAGAAGAATTATGACGAGCAGTAGAGGCATTGAAAAAGCAGAAAGCTGCTGGCAGCGATGGCGTACCGCCAGACCTTTAGCAGGCATTGTGGTCGTCAGCCGACGCGCTGGGTATTCTTTTAGATCTGTATAACACATGTTGGATATCCAAACATATACCAACAGAGTGGCGGAGATCTTCAGTTTTTATATAAAAAATGAAACACATCATTGCCAGCAACTAAAAGCCTATATTGTTACTACAAGTTGGATATAAAGTATTGGCTAGTGTATTGTTGTATCGCTTGGAGACTGGGGGCGTGGAGGAAGCACTGCGCGAATCTCAATATGGATTCCGCCAAGGACGAGGCACCTCAGACGCGCTTTCTGGTTCGCTGGTTGATTGACGCAACGTTGGAAGACAAGGACGGCACTTTACTTCTCTTATTACTTGATTGGAGCACAGCTTTTGACATCATAAAGCCAGAGGGTTTGACTTACACCCCAGCACTTCCTTGTGCCGCCAGCAATGGTAGATATGGCGCACGCAATCGACACTTCGAGAGAGTTTGTCGTCAAATATGGTGCAGACACAACGTCCCCGAGGCCTCAAGCGGCAGGCATAGCTCAGGGCTGCACGTTGTCGCCATACTTGTTTGTCATCGTTATGTCGGTTATTATGGAGGCTGTGGGCAGAAGACGTAACGCCATTCCGAACAACATGTCCAAACCGTACGTGATTACGGATGACCTGCTGCACACAGACGACACAATGATGGTGGCTACGAAACAGGACGCTCTTCAACAGCATCTGGACGCGCTGTTGGAAATCGCAATGCCTTTTGGTCTCGAGCTAAATTTATCCAACAATATCTTATTAAGAGTGCGACCGGATGCAAACGCTGCTGGGCCGGAAGGGGATTTGATTACATGCAA